TGTTCCTGGGGGAAACATGCATCTGTTGGCACAGGATCGCCATTTGAAATTCTTTGGGACACTAGAAAGGTACAGTCACTTGTCATCTGTTCCTGATAGTTGAATCTGTTCTTTGGTGGTTTACTTTAGAAATGATCAACAAAACTAATGTCTGAATCCCTTTTTTTGCTAGGCTGAGTTGAATCAACAAAATGGACTGAATGTCTATGATTTTCTTCATTTGGTAAGCAGCAGCTCCAACCAGGAAAATATGGGCACTAGTTGCCTTGGCGTGGAAATTGATTATCTGGATCAGGAAGATGAATACATGGAATTTGACCTCTCCCCAGTCCGAGATTCTGGTATTGAGAAGCCAACATTTGAAGATGGAGATAATTTTGCTCCTGACGAGAATGAATGGGTACAGACATCTTCTATAACTGATAAATCTAGTGGTAATTGGGAGCAGGTTAAAAAAGCCGAAATTCCTACTTGTTCTGGCTGGGGGATTGAGAAAGATGGGAAGGATGATAATTTGGGTGGCAATTGGGGGCAGGTAGTTGAAAAAGTCAAAAGCGCAACTCCTTCTGGCTGGGGCATTGATAAAAGTGAGAAGGATGATACATTCTCTGAAAAAGAGCCAGAAGATTTTCCAAAGAATGATAGGTCTGCTTGGGAGAAAAAGGTTGATTCTGTTGACAAAGGTCCTACAGAAAAGGCTGAACAGAGTACTTGGGCTAGTGCAAATGCGTCAAAATCTAGTGGTCAGTCCAGTTGGGGGCACGTAGTTGAGAAAGTCCAAAGCTCGACTCCTGGCTGGGGTGTTGATAAAGGTGAGAAGGATGATACAGTCTCTGAAAAGGCACCAGAAGATTCTCCGAAGATTAGCAGGTCTGCTTGGGGGAAAAAGGTTGATTCTGTTGACAAAGGTCCTAAAGAACAGGCTGAACAGAGTACCTGGGCTAGTGCAATTGCATCAAAATCTAGTGGTCAGTCCTACTGGGGCAAGGATGTTTGTAGGGAAGATAGTTTCCCGACACAGACTCAAGAATATCAGTCAGTATCTTTTTCGGCTTGGGGTAAAAAGCAAGATTCTGAGGGAAAAGTTTGGAGGGAAAAAGATGATCAGAATACTACGCCAATACAAAAAGGTCATTCCAACCTGGGTAGATCTTCTGGTGAGAAGGATTGGGGTGGAAAGGATGATCGAAGTACATTGGTTAATACTGGCACACCAAAGTCTAGCAGTCAGTCGGGGTGGAACAGAGAGTCAGATGAAACTGTTTGGAACAAGAAGAAAGACCGAAGTGGATGGACCATTCCAGGTACAGCAAAGGATAATAATCAGTCCAGTTGGGGCCAGGACGCAGCTCAGACGGAAGATGTTATCCCTGCTAAAGCTCAGGAGGGTTCTAAACAGGCTACAGATTGGGACGCATTAGGTTCTGATAGTGGACAAGATGGATCAAGTTCATGGTCTTCTTGGGGGAAAAAAATTGTGAAATCCGATGAAACTGTTAAAAAGTCTGATCGCTTGATTTCTTCAGCTGATGGAGACTCTATTGATGTGTTGCCTTCAAATGAAAATCTATGGGAAGCTAAAGTGGCTGACCATGGCAGTCTGTCAAAGCCCTTTACTGCTTGGGGCTCTTCAAATGACTGGGGTAAGGTTGATTCGCAATCTCCCAGTGAACAAAAGAAAGATTCTCCAGTCAGTAATGGGAATCCCAATCCAAAAGAGTCAAACGACTCTGGTTTTGCACCGCGTAGACATTTTGCTGGTAGAGGAGATTCAAACAGAGGTCGAGGTAGGGGTCGCCCCGGTGGAGACTGGAAGAACAATAGAGGTAGGGGTCGCTCTAGTGGCAGAGGAGATTTTTCTGATGATTTCAATGCACTTGGAACCTTCACAGTGACGAGGCAGCGCATGGATTTATTCACAGCGGAGGAACAAGACATTCTTTCAGATGTTGAAGCTATTATGAAGAACATCAGAAGAATTATGAACCAAACAGGGTAACTTCTTGTTTTGATTCTCAGCCTTTAAATTTATTATTTACAGTTGTTTGGTACTTTTGGGGATAATATTATGTGCAATAATGATATGAGAACAAAGAAAAATAAACGCTCTATTTATGTTTTGTTTCTCATTATTAATGAGATAATGTAGAAGATGTAGTGACAAACCCAGCGGAGTAGAGAAAAACATTGATATGGACGACCTCAAATTTGTTGAAAAATAAGATTTAGTGTGTATTTGTTGTCTCATAATTTACATTATCATCAATATAGTTTCATTAATATAGGCTGGGGAATTCTTACAAATTCACTTGAGTTGATATAAATAATACCAATAGTGTCGTGTAGTGGAAATAATGCCTGTGCACATGTGAAACACATTCCTCCCCTTATTCTCTTTCAGCTGAGAAAAAGTTCGAACCAATATTATCAACTTGATGGATCAGTTTCCTCCATTTTATTCTCTTGAAAATGATTGAAAGAACAGGAAAATAAAGGGACAAATTACCACACCGGAACACCTTTAATTAATTTGTTTACTAAGATTTCAGGGTTTGGATTTCATATTAGGGCAAACTGATAAAATATGAATCTGAATTCTAACCAAGTAACATTTTTGTGAAGGTACAATGATGGTGATCCTATATCTGGGGACGATCAATCATACATGGTGGATAATGTATTGAATTACCATCCTGATAAAGCTGCAAAGGTGGGAGTTGGATTAAAGTATATCATGGTATGCTAATTTGTTCTTCATTGATCGGTTAAATGTCTTTTATCATACATCTTGTTTCGTGGATTGCAATTGCTAATTCATAGAATCTTTCTTTTCGAGCAATATCAGCTTTCAACGTTAAGATATTTTTGACATCAGAATAGATGAACTAAACCTGTGCTTGTAAAGCCTTTCAAAGGAAAAATTGATCCTGAATTTATTTTGAAACATGCCTTTCAAAGGAAAAATTGATCCTGAATTTATTTTGAAACATTCTTTGATTTCTTGCACGCACTAACATGTTCAAACTAACAAACAAGTGCTTTTCATGGCCGTATTGTTTAAGTTCTGGGTAAAAACTGTACCAAATTAAGCTGTTCTTTATTTAAAACAAATTGTTGCATATACTTGGCATACTCGAGATTGAGATGGTTTCTTTGTGTGATGTAACCTCATTATGTAGTTCTACAAATATTTTGACGAACATGGTACATTTTTTCATTTGTTTTTCTTAATATTTTGAACTGCTTGTTTTAAGCTAATTTCGGTACTTGATGTAACAGGTTAGTAGGCACCAGGAGTTCCAGGATAGTAGGTGCTTCTATGCTGTTTCTATTGATGGTGCCAAACAAGATTTTTCCTACCGTAAATGTGTGGAGAACTTCCTCAAGGAAAAGTATCCCGATAAGGCTGAAGCTTTTGTTCCCAAGTACTATAGAAGGCAGCAAGCTCGTACTGGCTGGAATAAAGATCGTGGTTCTGCCTCAGGTGAAGCTAGAACTCCCGGCTGGAAACGGGATCATACTCCGGCTGCTGATGAAGCTGGAACTCCAGGCTGGAGCCAGGATCGTACTCCTGCTGCTGAAGAATCTGGAACTGAAGGCTGGAACACAGGCCGTAGCACTCCCGCTCAAGATGAAGCTGGAACACGGGGCTGGAATACAGGTTGTAGTCCTCCGGCTCGAGATGAACCTGGAACTGGAGGCTGGAACATAGGTCGTAGTTCTCTGGCTCAAGATGAAGCTGGAACACCCGGATGGAACACAGCCAGTACTCGAGCTCGAGAGGAAGCTGGAGCTTCAGGATGGGACAAGTCTGGCTCCAGATGAAGCTGGAACTCCTGGCTGGCAGTAGGGTGAAAGGAAAGGCAGGTGTTTTAACTTATTGGATGTAAATAGTAGTTTGCAGTTTTAGTTAGATTTGTGGATTCAATCAGGCATTAATGAATGACAATTTCTGTTTTCAATTGCACTAGGTGATGGATATATGGATTTGGGTGTATGACTTTAAATTATTTTTGGCTGAATCAATGTTGTTTTAATTAATGCCTTTCTGTAGTTCTCTTCCATGTTTTGTTTGTTGTCCAAGGCTTAAAAGCAGCACCTTTTTTGGGAGTAGGCCACTGAACATATCATCATCTGTTGGTTGTTTCATTGTTTGCTCAATAAAAATTAGATTTTTAGTAGATTTTGATAGAAGTTGGTAAATAAGTGATATAAAAGTTGAAAAAAACTGTGGATTAAAATGTGTTTTGAGAAAAAATGAGTTTTATGAAATAGAGGCAGACATGTATCCATACCTTTGATCTCTATAAGTTGAGCAATAATCAGTAAAGAAAAGCAGTATACACATAAAATTCTCTAAAAAACATTATGGTGGGGGTACTACTATTAGTTAATTATATAAAATGTACTCATTTACCTTTTTAAGTAACTTTTTTAAGTTTATCCAAAAGTGAAGTTAGTTTCAATTGGAAGCCGAATGATTGCCTTTTGCAAACAAATTAAAACGTGTGAAAGAATGGCTGATTAAGTTATTAATACTGATCCATTATAATAGAAAACAATTATCTTGGTATAAATTCTCAAATTTTGTTGCTACTGAGGGTGTGACACAATTGATTGGATTACAAGCATACTCTTGCAAAACAACATAGAGCATACTGGAGAAGAGTTGAAATCTTATTTACAATTGTATTACTATCTAGCTAATAATAACAATCATGTAACGAATCTTCAAAAATCCACTTGAGTATCAACTCGAAAAAAATATAAGGTCAAGAGTCAAAATGTTGAGTCGGTGTTGAACCAATGGTAGAAATTAAAATAACCAAAAATAAACAAAATCTTCCAAGTTTTTAACAATGAATGAGCAAGACTCGCTAATTTTCCCAAAAGCAAGTTGGTTTTGAGGTTGTTTTAAGGAATTTAAAGTTCGATATTTTACACTACGTTGAATAAGATTTTAAAGAGTCCTATCAATTTTTTATAAGAGTAGTTACTCTAATTGTTACTGAACTTTGGACCTTGCTACATAGAGATTAATGTTTGCATAAGCGATTACATAATGTTATATGACACTTTAACATTTGTCACTTTAAAATATAGTCAATTTTTTTATCCAATCTTTTTTCTTCACATCAGTTTTGATTACCGCTCATGTACCATTTTGTACACAAGTTGCAAAATCTCTTAACTTTATACTGAGTATCAATGTATTTTAAAAGTCGTTTTAGTTATATCAATGAAATAATTAACTGACCATAAGATACTATTTCACGGTATGGATTTATACCTTTTGTCGCATTCTTATACTTTATAACTTCATGT